GCTTTAGTCATCTTTTTGCTTTAGAACTTTTGTATTTTGGAGTGCATTAAACGTCTCAAAAACAATAATACTTTAGGAAATTTACTGACGCACGATAAAGATTCTTTCCTAATTTTTGTTCTCTAATTATTGAGAATTTATATGTATATCGATTTGTTGTTTTATTCCGATCTCTTTTTTTGAATTAGGTGATTTAACAGAAAATGGGACAGAAACTGCGAAACTAAATTTCAAACTGCTTTTTAAATTTAAAAAACAGTTTTAGAAAACCAAACATTATCAAAGATTATAAGAGATAACTATTTTATTTTCCATTACTCTCTATTCCTTTAAATTTGCTTGTTTACTATACGCGCGATTAAAGAAAGTAATTTAAAGAAAAATCGGTCAAAATGGGATAATAAAAATAAAAAGAACAAGAATTTAAAAAAAATTTAAAACTATTTAATTTAGAAATTACATCAACTGACCAAAACCTATGGTCGAAATTAATAATGTCTCGATGATTGATCCAAAAAAAGTGCTGTGTGAATCTGACAAACCAAGTTGGCTCACAGTTTTTTAATGTTCATATCTAGTCCAGTCGGCAAGTACATTTGAAAATCGACTAATTAGAACAAAACTGCAAAAAATTTTAATCGCTTTGTTTGGGTGTCAGTAATGACATACTAAGTTTTCGACTTCCCCCGTGGTGTGCTTCGGCCGCCATCTTGAAAGAAAGAGGTGAAAAATTTTTACCTGATTTTTTACCCCTTTCTTCCAAGATGGCGGCCAAAGCACACCACGGGGGAGGTCAAAAACTTAGTATGTCATTACTGACACCCAAACAAAGCGATTAAAATTTGTAACGATGCGCCCCTCACGATAAGGCATCGTCCCCGGCCACCACCCGCCGGATGCCGCCCGACCGATCATCCGTCGGGCGAGGACAGGGCGCGGTGCGCCCACATTTTTTTAAACGTTCGAAACGCACCGTGTGCGCGAGGAACCCGCCGCACCGGTGCCTTCCCGCACGACGCCGACGAGCGCCGACGGGAGCCGATCCCCGCCGAAGACGAGCGCGCGGGATCGCGCCGCGCCCACCACCGCGCGATTCGCCTGACGATCGGCCCCCCTCCTGCCGACCTCGCCGCGCCGGGCGATATATGTAAGCCGGCGCGCTCGGCGAGAAGACACTTCGTCTCAGGGTGCGTACTCTCCCGTACAATTTCATCGTTTCGCGTTTCAGCGCTATCTATTCCGTCTTACTCGTGAAAATGGAAACTACGTAGCAAAATTGTTAAGTTGTAATTATTTTATATTGTTACCTACTTGCGAATTCTAACTTACCGACTGTAATCCTTATATCTAGTTATAACTCTTGGTCTAGTCCATGGTGTAAGGATTACATGGTGTGCTCAATTGGTGTCTTTCTTTCTCTAAAATCGTTTCTCTCTCTGCCGCTCACGTCGAATTGTGTAAGCAGTGGTACCACCACTAAAAGTAACTAGAAAATAGGAAATTTGAACGGATTATGTTGCAAACTGCCTCCTGAAAATGTATTGCAACGATAAATGATATTTGAAGATACGTTGTATTTATTAGAAATTATTGAAAAGTATTATTGTTTAGGGCTTCAATGATTTCTCAACAAATGGAAAAGTATTAAAGAAAATTTAAAAAAATAATACTTTGTAAAGCCTCATGTACAAAGAATGTAATAGTATATTAAAATTGCAATACTTCCTTTTTTCGAATGTTTTAATGCTTCTATTTTTTCCTTTGCTGGTTTTGAATGAATTAATGCAAAAAGACAGAATTATTGTCATCGATTAATGGCATGAATAAAGCCTAACCTTTTGTCCGATGATAATGTATATATTAAGTATAAAAGCACTCTAGTATCTTACTGGCTCAAAGGATGTGGCGATAACTTTTGAATGCAGGGGTCATACGTTTGAATCAATTGTTTTTTTTTTATTAATTATTTGTTGCCCGTAAAAGTAACATAACAATTATTAATTTTATATGAAATTGGCGTTTAAAAATATGTATTGGCGAAGTATAAAGGTGCCAATTCATGGGACGCTGAAAAACAGCGTTGAGCGTCGTCACGTGACATCACTATGATGCCAGCGTCAAGAAAGAGAAGTTGGATTTTTCCAACTTCAAGCGTCAAAGCCAAAGCAGCGCGAAGACGCCGAAATTTTGACGCTGTTTCCCTTTTCATGAATTTCAATTGACGCCGGCGTCAATTGTGGTCATGCAACCTTCTTGCCGCTGAAAATGAGCGTCGAGCGTCAGCATGAAAAGGCACCTTAATATAACTAATTATAGGTATACATAATCAACGAAAAATTAAATTATTGAAATTTAATATAATTTATTAATTATTCCAATTTCATGTATTTTTTTTATTCATTATTCTTGATTACATTTCTAATTTCTGTTTCAATAATTGTACCTATTTAAAATTAATTTGTTTACAACACAAGGTGGTACATTAATAAACCGCTTAAAAGGAAAGTCGATACACGAAAATCAGATCTTTGGAAACGTCACACCTTTTACATTTAAAATATTATTACTGATATTTTTGAAGAGAGAGAAGTGATTAATGTTTGTGAAAAGAAATGCAAAGAAGCAAAAATAATTAGTATAACAACTTTTATTTGTAATTGGACTTTTCTTCTGAAAAAAGGTAGTTGAAAATGTTTAATAACAAGAAATTTAATATTATATTTATATAAATATAATTTTGACACATTCTTTCAGTGATGTTAGAGTACGCAGGTAAGTACATTTTAGACACAAACAAACTTGCTATTAATTAAATATTATTCCGTTGTATGTATATATATATACTAGCTGGTTACCCGGGCTTCGCCCCGGAGGACATATGTAATCAGACACGCAAATACTCTCTCTCTCTCTCTCTCTTTTTCTCTCTCTCTCTCTCTCTCTCTCTCGACTATCACCTCTTTCAAACAAAAGCTACACGACTATCTTTTATTGTATGAGCAGAGCTCCGTCCTGTGATCCCACCGTGGCCCCTTCCCTCCCTCTTCGGTTCATTATCCCTTTACGAGTGTCAACACATTGCTCTTGTCTGGCGCATCTGCAGTAATTGCTGTAATTGCGTGATTTTGTTATCTGTACTTTCGTTTTTGCTTCTATTTTGTTGTATTTTTGTTTGCATATTATTCTTTTACTTTAACGCGCAAATTTTGTTCTGATTATTTGTCATTTTTATTGTTATATTATTTTACCTTATTTTATTTTATTTTTTTCTCTCTTCTCTTCTTGTCTATATATATTTTTTCCTTCTGTAAATTGCCATTTTGCCTAAAGTCTTGACTATGGCATAAATAAAACCAATCAATCAATCAATCAATCAATCTCTCTCTCTCTCTCTCTCTCTCTCTCTCTCTTTCTCTCTCTCTCTCCCCCC